AGGAGAAGGAAAACTCCGATTTCAAACCTCCACTGCCTTGTGGCTATATCCACTGATGGAAAAGGCTTCAGGAATTAACCTTGAGTAGCCGGAGTCCTGGAGGCAGTTCATGTCATTCTGCCAACTCCCGCGCTGCTGCTGGAACCAGTTGTATTGGCTCTTGCCTTTCCATTGGACCATTTCAGCAATGTGGAGAGGGGGGATCTGCTGCTTGGGTAACAGCCTATCCTCCACATTACCTTACCCGGGCTTCATGCTCTGGAGAGGACACTCCTCGATTCAGAGCATGTTACCATAGTCTCTTGAGACTGAAGGATGCCTATATAAAATTCAAATGTGGATTCCATACCTCTTTGAAATCATTCTATTTTGTCACTCCCCTTCTTATTTTTATTTCGCATGTTAGCTTATCATTTATCACTGAACTCCACATTTCTTTATACCAGTCTTCAAGATTAATTTGTCTTTTTTCCATTTTTTTTGCAAATATTAATCTTTCTGCTGTGACCATTATAACGATTAGCTCTTTCTGTTCTTTTTTAAGATAACCATTCTTGATTATATTTAAAGCGGCAATCATTGGGACAAGCCCTCTTCCTCAGTCATAAGAGAAGGAGATATGTAACATCAAATATTTATGCATGGCATCGAAGTATATCGTATTTGTATTCTCGAAGACTTGTATTTCTTTAAAATTATATTTCTTTAAAATATTTTTATCCTGCCGTTCTCCTTAAAAAGAACCCAAGGCGGCTCGATAGCAAAATACAGAGCTCATGGCTGGTTTAAGAAGAAAATCAATAATAATGATAGTGTCTGATATGCAAATATCTTAGGAAGTGGCCTTGTGCAGGAAAGCTCACATTAAAAAAATCTAAAAGTTAGTCTTAAAGGTGCCACCACATTTTCGACTTTTTAAAAATATTTATTTTGTAATATTTATTTTTCTTTTCACTTCCAATGCTTGCACAGACTAACACAGCTACACCTTCTACAACTACCACTATCAGCGGTTTCAGTGGACCTCCTTGGCAGATGATGATGATGATGATTAAAGAACCCACACTCAAGCAAAGGATTTGGGAGGGGCTGGAATGGAGTGTTTGGTAAGATTGGCTGGCTGGCACCCTGACCAGAAGCTCTGGTGTCTAGGTTCCAGCGGGTTGGTTCTTGACCCTTTGGTTTTCAGCCAATCAGATTTGCGACCCTTCCCAGCCCCGCCTTCTCTGGCATGTGCCCATTCAACACCCGGAGGAGACGGCGCTGGGAAGTGCCCAACATCTGTTTGGCCAAAAACACACAGCCAAACTGGCACGAATTGCCCGAACCAGCGGTTCGTGCCCACCTCTCCTTGTTTTATTTTGGGGCGGGGGGGAGTGTCTGCTGGCAATATCTAAGGGTTGGAAAACTAGTAAATTAAAACTAGACAGTCACAGAACACCCCCAGAGGATGAGAATCGTAAATCACTTCTGAGTATCCTTATACAGTGGTGCCTCGCTAGACGATGATAATCCGTTCCACTGAGATCATTGTTTAGTGAAATCATTGTCTAGCGAAAAGCATTTCCCTATTGGAATGCATTGAAACCTGTTTAATGCGTTCTAATGGGGAAGAATAGTCGTCTAGCAAAGATCTGCCATAGGAAAGCCGTTTTGCGAACTGCCGATCAGCTGTTTAAATTGCTGTCTTGTGAAGCTTAGGTCCCGAAAACACCCATTTTGCGAGCGCAGAGGGAGCTGTCAAAATCGTTGTCTAGCGAAAATCGGTTTGCGAAGCAGGGACCAAACATTGTCCCTTAAAGGGCAGGGGGGGGAGTGTCTGCTGGCAACATCTAAGTGTTGGAAAACTAGTAAATTAAAACCAGACCGTCCCAGAACACCCCCAGAGGACGAGAATTGTAAATCACTTCTGAGTATCCTGATACAGTGGAAGCCCCGGAAGGGGACACCGTTGAGCCTGATGG